ATTTGATACTTAGATTCATTATGAATACTCTGCCTAAACAACCTATCAAAGATTAGAAAACATATAGTTTGATTAGACTCAAATATGAAATATGCTCATAATGGGTGACAGATCATGCAGTACACGATTAATTGCATATTAATTAGCAACCAATGTATGCTTTTAGTTTACTTTTGTTGATCAACTATTCAATTAAAAAACCCGCTAACGTATGAGATAATTTAGTAAACATAACATATAGTCAATAAAGGAGAAAAACAATAATCATTTTGTTTATTTTCACAAACTATCCAAAATGTTTTAGGTTTTTTTTGTTTTTTTTCACACAGACTTCCCATTAACCAAGATTATATGGGAAATACGTAATTAATAAATAACGTTTTTACTAGGGTTCACACTCACCATACAGATATATAACATTTCTTTGAAAATGACATAACACTTGTTAACTACTGATTCGAAACACTTTTACCACTAAAAAAAAAGACATCCGTTATTGCTCACAGTTTGTACATCGTAACAGGCTGTTCACAGGATTCTAAGTGGTACCTTTGAAAATTTTGGCAGTTTTATTGATATGTAGTAACCCTTTCCTAACCGTCCTCCAGAGGTACAGCGGTAAGTTTACGGACTTACAAAGCTAATATCCGGGGTTCGATTCCCCGCGGTGGACACAACAGATATCCCAATGAGGCTTTGTTCTAAAACAATCAAATATACCTTTCCTAACAGTTAAATTTTACTAACTTGGGAACAAAACAAGAAACCCGACAGCACGAGCACCTTTTAGAAGTTAGACGTTCCTTATTGGTCAAACTTCTAAAAACTCTGATGGTTTCGTTTCTTATTTTGTGATTTATCTAATTCTTGACTTATTACTTAAAATCATAAAAATAGCTCGGAAATAGATACAACTCTTTGATCAGTTTGTGAGATGCTGGTGATTTATTGTTTCTCTAATTCAGATAAATAATTAAAAATGAGTAGAATGAAAGAGAGTGTCTTACCCGATTGGTCTGCAGGACCAACTCCTTCTGCACTTGGCATGCCGGAGCACGGGGTCATTTGTCTATGTTCACCTGATGCATTTAAGTCACTTTCTTGTCCACCTAGGATGTCTCGAATAAAGAACGACCGTTGTCGAGATACCATTATGATCGGATATCTGTTTGCATTTGATGTTTCATAAAATCGTCCTCAAAAGAAATTGATCTGCGAATGTTGGTCTACCAGATATCAACATCAAAACTATATGTTTTTATGATGTTTATTGTTATACAGGTGAGGTCTGTCGCCTTAAAATTGCGACGTCATTTCCTGCATGACTGACGACAGTTTGGTCCGAAATGTTTATGAGATTACATCGGATGCAACATCATGTCTAATACCGGGTAATGTATACAGCCAGGAATTAGTTTATGAGAACAACGTGCTTTTCTTTACACACCTAAACAGTAAGCATATTTCATTGTCTTTTAAATAATGCTCTGAAGAGAAGAAAATAAAGTTTAATTCTGAAATAAATGAAGTAAATATTCAGGAGAAAACTACGAACAAATTAAATGTTAATAAACCGAATAACTAATTATAATATAATATAGTACTAGTCTACGACGAATGCTTCTTTCCGGTAAACAAATAAGTCTCTCAAAAAGCTTTGAACTTCCACAACAGTGCCAAATTTTCTAGTAAGCTGTAAACATTGCCTATACAGTCACTTACATAAGTTTAATGTCTATTGGTACATGTTTCTACGCGCCTTCTTTACACTCGCTCGCCATCGTGAATTGATTGGCTGGTAGAACAAGCAGAAGGAAAGTTCCTTAGCAAATAATAACAAAGCTGTAGCACATAAGGGACAATTGAATACTAAATTACCTCATAAGGATCAATTGATTGAAGCGCCGAGTGACAGCGAACTGTGATTGGTTGGATCCGTCCAATCAAGTTATCTCCCGGGGATGTATTCCGGGGGAAGTTTATTCTCTATTTGTACGAAACATTTTGTCGTAATAACAAAGAACGGGTGTTTTTATAAACAATTACAAACGCTGAAAATCTTGTAACACATGGCAACACGAACAGAATCTCCTAAATCTTGTTATCCCGTCGTCGACCTGAAAGTTATTTATTTTCCCCTAGTCACTAAAATTGGGTGAGAATGGAATAATTTGTTGGCAATTTTCTCAGATTTAGCTTCTCATCTTTCGCCCCTCAGCTATTTCCTGTTCGCTTTGCTCGGTACATATATGTATAGCCAGAGCCGTAGGATGAACGTTCAATCGGCCAATAGAAACATCCTTTTCTAATTTACTTCGCTACAGTATGTAATTGAGGCAATGAAGGACAACCGTATTTGGTAACAGCTGCGACGTCACCTTTTAGAAAGGGTGGACAAGAAAATGATTTACAGAAAGAGTTTTCTAGAAATATCAGGATTCTTGCATATAATTACATTTTGTATTAATTTTGCTCGTGAAAACATTTGAAGGCAATCAGAACATGTGTTTTACGAAGAAATAGAACAATAGAAATGAAAAATGGGGAAAGGTTAATGTTTACAAATGTGTTGCCTTTCAAACACGAGTCGAGGATTAATGTTGACCTCTATTTTAAATCATAACAACATGACAAAAGTCACTGTAAATTTGGTTTGTAGTCTGAACATCATCGAATGGATAAGTTGTTTCACGAGTGTACAGATTTATTCTTTATTTATGAACTCAATAAAAATAGAATAGAAAAAAAAGACATTATTTGTTAAAATATGCTCTTTTGGTTTTAGAGATGTAATCATACAGTCAGTCCTTTCTTTTTTGGGGGGGGGATTTCCATTGATATTTCAATATTGAAGACAAATACAGAACAAACTAACTAAAACTAATGCATGAGAAAATATGTGTTACATAGTGAAGATAGAATAAAACGTGATGAGTAAAGAAAATAGAACGCGGGAATCTTGAACTGACTTTACTAGACCATGCTTAGTATTCTCGTTTTATGGCAAAAAAGAAAATTTAGGATACAGAAAATGAATTCAAAACATATTTACCAAACTGTTTGTTTCTAGACCTGTCAGTTACACAGAAATAAGAAGTTAATATAATGAATCGTGTGCTTTTGACGACATATTTACAAAGCAGAGGTGAAATATACGATTTAAGAATTTCTGCTCACCTTTAAAGGATCACTACAGGAAAGCGATTAAATTGGAAGAGTTTATTTTATATCAGATTTAGTGGATTTATATGTGTTTTAGCTTTCAGTCAAAATCACTAGCGCAAGAATAATTTTTGCTATTTGTAAGTCCAAGAACTTGCCACTCAAAGGTGTCTAAATCTGAAGAAAAATAATTCGTTTTCAAAACACGTGATTTTAACCCACTTGTTCCATAGCGAAAAAGAATCACAGTTTGGAAAAAAAATCATAGTTTTTCTTCAAAAAAAAAAAAAAAGAATAAAATAAACCTAAAATTACCGACGAGGCCTAGATCTCCATCAACTTTTTAGGCACATTTTTGAAAACCTTTTATTTTGCATCAACTTACTTGTGGATCCATGACTTTGTTCGTTACAGGATGCATAATAACGTATGAGTGTCATTAATATTGCATTTACTAACTACTGCGGAGGGGTGGGTCCTTGTATATTTTACACTGAAAATGAGTAATTTTGCCACATTTTTATTTTCTTTCGGCCAACTCATCATAGTGAGCTACTAACAGATAAAATGGTTCAGTATGATGTAATATATATAGACCTCACATACTTCGTATAGAAACAAGTTGATAATGTGAGGATGAAAGTAGAAAATGTTGGATTATGACAGTCACCATTTATTTATTGTCTTTCATCAACTGAAAAGTAAGAAACGCTGATCTCTCTTCAACAATCAAGTAATGTATTCTTGACTCCAGGCTGTTCTGTTCCAGTGATTTGTAAGTTTGTTTGCTAGAATGATTTAGGAAATTGCTGTTATCTGTTTGAAGTTAAGCACAAACTATACAATGGACTATTTGTGCTCTGCCCACCACAGGTATCGAAACCCGGTTTCTAGCGTTGTAAGTCCGCAGACATACCGCTGGGGGCACTGTTATCTGACAAAAGTGTTCTTTCAGATTACGTGTTATATTGTGAGATAAGAATATTCAGCTTATTATTTATTTGATCGTTACATTTTAAGTTAATGGTTGTTTACCTTCTAGATATTACATATTATTTTTAAATGGAAGCACATATTTTATTATACACACTTTCCTTCACAAGTCCATGCTCTAGTTCACACTACCTTATAGAAAAGTGTATTCTGTATTTCTGTACTCATCAAAAAGTCGAGCTTTAAAATTTTGTAAGATAATTAGCAGGGCACAATTTTGAATAGAAGAATTTACAATGCAATATTGCTGTAATCATTTATAACAGATCAATTTAAGATAGTAGATAACACTATAAGGATCATTTATTACAGATTACTTTAGGATAGTAGATAACACTATAAGGATCATTTATTACAGATCACTTTAGGATAGTAGATAACACTATAAGGATCATTTATTACAGATCACTTTAGGATAGTAGATAACACTATAAGGATCATTTATTACAGATCACTTTAGGATAGTAGATAACACTATAAGGATCATTTATTACAGATCACTTTAGGATAGTAGATAACACTATAACGATCATTTATTACAGATCACTTTAGGATAGTAGATAATACTATAAAGATAATTTATTACAGA